GTATGATAAATTTTAATTGGTAATTTTAATTAAGAAGTTGCCAGAATGTATGTAGATAAAAGTGAGTGAAGATTGTATGAAATAATATAATGTTAATGTTTGATGTATGGTAAATTTAAATTGGTAATTTTAATTTAATAATTTCAAGAACTTTTGTATTATATATAAAAAATTAATGAAAATTGTATATTTAGTTTATCTAATTAATTATAATATACATAAAATTACAAGATAATGTAAACGAATTTTTAAATTGCACAGAAATGTGATTAAAAACAATGAAATCCAAATTTCACTCACTTGTAAAATAAACAAGATATCTATTAATAAATATTAAATTTCCTAAACCGATCCAACAGTAAAAACACAATCTACATAAAATCTCTCGAATCTCCTGACCAAACAAAAATCCCCCCAAATTTTTTTAAATTCACATCAAACAATCCAAACCTACCAAACAATCTCAAAAAATGAAATCCGAATTTCATTCACTTGTAAAATAAACAAGATATCTATTAATAAATAATAAATTTCCCAAACAGATCCAACAGTAAAAACACAATCTACATAAAATCTCTCGAATCTCCTGATCCAACAAAATTCCCTCAAAATTTTTTTAAATTCACACCAAACAATCTTAAAACACGAAAACCAAATTTCACTCACATGTAAAATAAACAATAAGATATTTATTAATAAATAATAAATTTCTTAAACCGATCCAACAGTAAAATCACAACCTACATAAAATCTGACCCAACAGAACTCCCTCAAAATTTCTTTAAATTCACACGAACCAAACCTACCAAATAATCCGAAAACAAGCATTACCAAAGTACCAAATAAACACTCTCAAGCATCCTTTTCCAACAATCTCCTCCTTTCATCCGCGAAAAAATACCCGCACAATCATTCCCGACAAAAGAACACCTTCGCTCTCTCAAAAAAATTGAAAAAAAAAATTCGAAAGGGAAACTCAGCGCGCCTAAATCGACACTTTATCTCGATCTCTCGCGTTCGCGATCGATTCGACTCGACTCGTTCGAGATAAGAGCGAATCGGCACCGGTGATTTCCTGCCGATTGCTTTCGAACAGTCAATTACTTTCGCGCCGGCAAATTACGGGGCAGGAATCGTGCTCGATCCGCGAGATACGATCGTTACGAGGTGTGTAAGCACGTCTAATTCGCGGCAGCTTGATATTCCGCTAATTTGCATCGGGAGCGTTAGCTGGCACACGAGCTGGTTCTCCGCTGAAACGGAAGATGGTATCTCGTTGCAGCGTGATTATTAATTCAAATGGAAATTTATGCACACTCGTGGCTCTATGCTGGTCACTCTTTTCACTTTCCGGCTTGTTTATCGTGCAATTGAGTCGTCACGATTTTTCTTCGTCATTACGAATTTATTTTTCCAAACGTGACTTCTACACCTGTGACACTTAGGTTTGTTTCGCACTAAACCTACCAAAGCCTAAATTACCGTTTTCAAACCACTGATTGAAAATTCCACAATTGGACGTTATCATTGTTCCTGGTAATGCAACATTATCTCTAACCTGTGTCAAAAAGAAAACGAATCCTATTTTAATTTTGACAACTTTGAGATTTTTGAACCAATTGAGTCTCTTATTAAGAAATCTTAAATTACCATTTTCATACCTCTGACTAAAAATTCCACAATTGAACGTTATCACTATTCCTGATAATTCCACATTATCTCTAACCTGTGTCAAAAAGGAAATAATCCTATTTTAATGCTCGACGAGTTCGCTATTTATGAATCAACAGTGGTTCCCACTGTCAAAGCTCAAATTACCGTTGTCAAACCACTGATTGAAAATTCCACAATTAGACGTTGTCACTATTCTTTTCACTTCCCGGCTTGTTTATCGTGCAAGTAAGTCGTCACGATTTTTCTTCGTCATTACGAATTTATTTTTCCAAACGTGGCTACACCGATAACACTTAGGTTTGTCTGACACTAAACCTACCAAAGCCTAAATTACCATTTTCAAACCACTGACTAAAAATTCCGTAATTGAACGTTGCCACTATCTCTGGCAGTTCAATATTATCCCTAACCTGTCTCAAAAAGGAAACAAATCCTATTTTAATGCTCGACAAGTTCGCTATTTATGAACCAACCGAGGCTCTTGTTACCAAAGTGTAAATTACTATTTTCAAATTTTTGACTAAAAAATTCCGCAATTCGACGTTATTATTCCTAACCTAAAAAAAGAAACAAATCCTATTTTAATTCCTAATATGTTTGCTATTTATGAACCAAACGTGACCTTTATTACCAAAGCCTAAATTACCTTTATCAAATTTTTTACTAAAAATTCTGCAATTCGACGTTATCGTTATTCCTGGCCTAAAAAGGAAGTAAATCCTATTTTAATTCCCAATAAGTTTGCTATTTATGAACCAACCGAGGAACAATCGGAGAGATCAAGAACGAAATAGCACCATATCCCTTTGAAGCAAACTCTTTGAAACCACCTCGTACACAGATATGCATCAATCGTCACCTCTAACCTGACTCGACAAGAAAACCACTCCTACCCCAAGTTCTCGACAAGCTTACCACTCCTAAACCACCCGAGGAACAATAAGAACGATCGAGACCAAACCTCGCGCGATAAACGACCCATGTACGACAGCCTGGTACACAGGGGAACACGCTTACCCAATCACACGATCTCTCGATCGACCAACGAAATTCCCCACAACATGGTCCACGACCTAATCCCGATACGATCTATCTCACTGACGATTGCTCTGTACAGAAAAGGAAAAACGAAGAAAAATTGAGGAAACGTTGGAAATCGATATGCTTGGCAGCGATAAACAGTGGAAGCAGAAAGTAGAAGGGTCAACGACAGGGTGGGTGGAAAGTTGCCAAGAATAGAACGGTGCTCTACAACCAGTCAGCCGGTTGCTTGGCAGTTGCCGAGATTACGAAGCTCCTCGGGGGCTCCAGGAGCGGGTGGAAAGCCAGAATGTGGGTCAGCAACTGCGAACAGCCAGTGGAACACGAGATACGAGCCCCCGTTAGCAACACTGTGCCCGTTGAGGTGCCTTTCAATGCCCCACGGCAAGTGCGAGAGTGCAAGTGGAAGAAAGAACCGGAAAACCGATATCGGATTCAGCGAAAGAAACCGAAGGAGTTAATCCGACCGTGTTTCCGGCCGATCGTACGTTCTTTGCTATTAGTTATGGTGTCTTTCGAAGGTCTCCATCCAGTTTGGACGATTACATATGTTTCTCGAGTATTCCTGCGATTGGAGTACGCCATTTTCGTCACGAACTTAACCTCAACTCTGTCTTTTGCTATTAGTTATGGTGTCTTTCGAAGGTCTGCAGTTTGGACGATTACATATTTTTCTCGAGAATTTCTGCGACTAGAGTACTCCATTTTTGCCACGAATCTAACCTCAACTCTGTCCTTTGCTATTAGTTATAGCGTCTTTCGAAGGTGTGCAGTTTGCACGATTACATATTTTTCTCGAATACTTTTGCGACTGGAGTACTCCATTTTTGCCACAGACCTAACCTCAATTCTGTGCTGTCATATTAGTTATGGTGTCTTTCGAAGGTCTGCAATTTGGAAGATTGTATATTTTTCTCGAATATTTCTGTAACTGGAGTACCCAATTTTTACCACGAACCTAACCTCAACTCTGTTCTTTGCTATTAATTATGATGTCTTTCGAAGGTCTGCAGTTTGGATCATTACATATTTTTGTCGAGTATTTCTGCGATTGGAGTACGCCATTTTTGTCACGAACCTAACCTCAACTCTATCCTTTGCCATTAATTATGGTATCTTTCGAAGGTCTGTAGTTTGGACGATTACATATTTTTCTAGAATATTTCTGCGACTGCTGTACCCCATTTTTACCACGAACCTAACCTCAACTCCGTCCTAACCTATCGAAACGCTTGTCAGCCGACTATAGGACCCTTAATTTTTCGAGGATTACATTGAAAATTTGGAAATACATTCTAGGAATGCTGTACTATTAATTATTGATTAAGGCAATAAAAAAGAAAATTTATTATTTTCTGTCTACCAGGATAGTTCCTTAATCCCCTACCTTATTATTTAAGTTCCGATAGTGCGTGTTATGGTCGACAGAAATGTCAGAACGTGGTAAAGAATAACACGTAACTAAGATAGAAAGACATCGGCAAAAATGAACCACGAACTTGACCCGTGATGTTTACATTGGGCCCTATCTACGAACCACGGCTCTCACCCGTGAGAAGCATGTTTGGCCCGTTACCCTTATCGCGAGTCTGACACGATATTGTAGGCGAAGGAGTTAACCATGTGTCACGAGGATGTTCTTGTTTCAAATTCGCCAACGACGTGTGCACGTGAGTAGGCAGATGACGCCGAAATATAAATGGCGTGCGCAGCAGAAGATATAACAATGGCACGGATGAGATAGACCTACAAGATAATTACTTATCTTCTTTTTAACTCATAAGAAAATATATAAAAAGTTGTAAAAGAATATTGTTCTGTTTAGTCCTGCTTGTCCACGTGCCTAAGCAGAAGACCAAAGAAAACCAATTTTATCGCTCATTTCGTTACATCCACTCCCCTTACGATAACATGAAACTATTTTCCTTAAAATAGTAAAAAGTTAGAATTTCATTTTCTCACAATCTCACCATTATTTTTAAAATCTCAGGAAATTTTTCCTATTTCGAATTGACAAAAATCACGAACATTCCCGAAGCTTTGCTAAATAAAATGACGAAAACCGTGTTTTAAAAGATGCCACAGTTTCTCCGAAAAAAATTCCCGAAGTTGTCTTTCTCCCCCATTCGCAAAAGACTTTCTCGGTCTTCATCATAGTTCGTCTTTACCGAGCGAAAATTAGTGTTACGAGATTCGTGTAATTACCCAAAACGAATGCCACAGTTGATCCATGCAATGTGTAAAATGGAGAAAGAATGAACGGATTAGAAGATGCAATCGCTTACCTGTATTGTCGAATTCCATTAAGGTGCACCGGTCATCAACTGTGATGTCGCACTCGTAGACAGCGCCACCTCTGTAGACGTCCTTCTGGGCAGTTTCGGCTTCCGGCGCGCCCACTATCACGCTGCAACGAAAACACGTGGAGTGAGAGCGGGAAGTTCGAACGAGGGCGCGGGAAATTCGAACGCGAGCGCGGGAAATTCAAACGAGAGCGCGGGAAATTCAAACGCGAGCGCGGGAAATTCAAACGAGAGCGCGGGAAACGAAAATCGAACAACAACAACGCAGTTCGACGTTCGTTATCGCGAGGTTCGAGGAAAGATGACGACGCGAACGCATTTCCGAGATATCGAGGTCAGTGGTCACGAGCTATTTTGAACAGTGGCGCAAGAGTGGCGGTAACTGATCCGAGCAACCGACGAGTTATTAAACCAGGTAACACACTTGCCACCGCAATTTTTAGCGGTTCGATGGGACACGATGCTGCTAGTTCCATTCGTGCTAGAATGCTGCAACGTAGATACATAGATACGTATACGGTTATTTAATTGAAAGGAGGTTGCTTTCGCAATTTTTATGGGACCGATTTGACGCGTCGGTGGTGAGTGGTAATTAATGGTCATTTGATTTCGTGCTCTTTGCATATTACGCTTCTACAATCTCGGTGAAAGGAAATTTTTGGCCTTTTTTCTATTTCGATTCTTGGAATCTTAGAGGTGTATCCGAGGGTAAGTGAATATACGGGGTGTCCCGTTTAAGTTGACACAGTAAAGAACCTCGTGAACAAGTTAGGTTTAAAAGAAATAAGGTGTAAAGTAAGTGTAAATTAATCTTTTATAGTATACATAGAAAAAGAATAGAATTTTTCGTTGTGCCAATTTTAACGAGACACCTTGTATATAAATAAAACATTTTTGAGATTAATGTTTTTTTCATGGGTTTTAAGGTGTATTAAATTACAGTTAAAAATAAATAATTAAATAAACAAATAATTGTACTTAAAAATAAAGTAAGTTTATAAATTTTATCGTAATTTTGATTAATATAGCATTGGAAAGTGGTGTTCAAGATTTGGTATAGTAGTTAAAATAAATCAGAGTTAAGTCGTGACTCTGTAACGTTATTATATTAGAAATAAAAGTTTATTGAAATAAGATGACAAAGGGTAATATTGACAAACAATTGCTTTATCTTCCATTTAGTTTTAAATAGTAATGATAAAGTAGTACGAGCTTAATGATGATCTCTACTTGTTCAATTATTTTAACGATTGCCATCTTGTGAGCTAAATTGGCCATTGTATTTGTTGGCTTAGGATTTAACGTCTGCTCTACTTCTCTAATGAACAACTCTCAAGTCTTAAATTGCTATTGGAATTATCCAAAGAAAATCAATGTACGTAGATACTTTCTCCTTCCACAAACGAGCTGAAATTAATTTTTCAGACAATTATTCGAAACTCCTAATGGCACCCATCTTAATATAATTCCTTGCAAAAAATATTTCAACCATTTTTAAAATTTTTAAATAATAAATACTAATATTATTCAATTATTAAAATTATTATTAAAATTAAATTATTAAAAATACTGTTAAAATTTAATTATTATTAAAAGAAAATTTAAATATAGGTTTTTCATAGCACAGATTATTTTACGATTTATTATGTCTACTGTATTGTCAGAAACATTACAAATCGTTTCAATACACTACTCGTACAATAGGATAATTATGAAGATTCATGGTACTGAATGGTACTCGAGTAACTTAAAATTCAAACTCCTCAAAGTACCCATTATTAAATTTAATAACACGCTATTAATTTTTCCCGCATCTTTCGCACACGTTCTTGGGTTCACTTAAGAAGATTAGTACGAAGGCCAATTTTTAATTATTTTAATCACGAGCGATACCCGCGTAATTAACTTCTCCCGTTTTAATATTCCATTTATATATACCACTTAGTTTCATTAAAAATTCGATTGAGATCACGCAATTTCCGACGCTTCGTGATAAAGCACAATCATCGTGTTTTATCATTAAATCGTTTCGCCTGAACGTAGGCGTGCGCAGACAATATGAAGATTGCTAGCTAAGGTAATAGATCGCATAATTATCCCGGTAGGGTGTGTCAGACTCAGGGTTGTATACCTTGGAATCACCCTGACCTATAGCGTGATTAATACTGCCTGCATACAGATTAACTTTACGCTCTCAAACACGCACTATAATAGATAAGAAATCGTAAGTTACTCTTATCTCTTGTAGATGATTACCATAGCTGCAGTATGTGTAACAAGCTACCAAGAGAGCAACGTTTCTGAAACATTAGCCTTGCTCTTATATCCTGGCTTGCCTTGAACTCTTCCGAATAAACATTTTTACCATTTCTCCAAATTAAAAACATATTTTTCTGTAATTTTTAATACAAATTTTTAATTTCTAACTTTCGTTGAAAATATTTAATAAAACTTTCATTAATATTATTCATTATTATTTAATAACATTTTCATAGAACGATCGATCTTTAATGGGTACCTAACATAGCAAACGTAGATAACAGTAATTTATTTAGATAATATTTATTTAGATAATATTGGAACAATGAATATAAGTAAATGTACAATATTAATTACAGTTTTATCTTAATAAGTAAACGCTAAATTAATAAATAATAATAATAAATTAAGATCGGTAGTTCTATGAAAATGTTATTAAATAGTAATGAATGATAATTATTCATAATATAATTATTGTTGTTATTATATTAGCGTAATTAGAGTAAACGCTAATTTCTTTCGAAGCAGGTATATATTTTTAATAATTGCAAAAAGGAAAACTCTGAAATCAGTCATTTTGACTGAGTTTATAATTGTAGTATTATTAATCAAATTTTTAATAATTTTTATTATTCATTATTATTTAATTATCATTATATTATATTATTAATAATTATTATTCATTATTACTTAATAACATTTTCATAGAACTGCCGATTTTTAATGGGCACCTAATATAGCAAACGTAGATAATAGTAATTTATTTAGATAATATTTATTTAGATAATAGGGGTACGTTGAAGATAAGTAAATGTACAATATTAATTACAATTTTATCTTAATATGAATAAACACTAATTTCTTTCAAAACAGATATATATTTTTTATAACAATTGCAAAACGGAAAATTCTGAAATGAGTTATTTTGATTGGGTTGGTAAATGTAGTATTATTAATCAAATTTTTAATAAAAAATTTTAATGAAATTTGACATGTTCTTGTCTTAAAAAGAAAAACAAATTTTTCGTAATAAAAATAAGTATTTTAGGGATATTCATCCTTTTGTCGTGAAAATAATTATTGAATAATGAGTCACGAAATGAGCGAAATTGAGCGACGTAAATATTTTTGGTTTTTTGGTACCTTTTGCAATTCAAGACAATTGTCTTAATTCATAAAGCACAAGGCTCGTACTTGATGCTGGTAGAAAAATGACTTTCGAATATTGCTGTATTGCCCGAGGCTGATAAATGATGCGTAGCGTTTTATCATCGAACAATGGAAGAAACTGACGGAGAAAACGCTCGTTTCGTTGAATTTCACTTCGAAATAAAGACCGTTCTTTATTCTCTAAAGAAGCGATATCGTAAATTTCTCTCTCACCATGATGATAATTACATTCGACATAAAAATAATGCAACTTGAGAAGCTTCGACGGATAAATAAGTCATTATCTCGTGTACAAACTTTCGAAAGAATTCGCTGTCTATGTCAATGTACTTTTCTCCGATAATTATAGAATTTTGCAATTTTTTAAATGTACGAAACTTGAAGGACATTGAAAGGGCCATTTAAATACACGAAACTCTGAAAAATTTCGTTTATATTGTAAATATGCATGAATATTTTTCCACATTTTTGATACTATTTCCTATTTATTACAATCTTTATTGTTATATTCGTTGATGTCAAAATAGTAATTTATGTTTGATTTAGAATCGTGAATTTTCATTGTACAATTGTAATATTTAAAATCTGTGGAAGCAAAGGTAAATTTGTTTTCTGTGTTAACAAATTTTGATTACCAAGATACTATCCAAACTTTTTAGCTCAAACCATAATTAATTCCACAAAAATAATTTTCATGTATTTAAAAATTGGGATTTTATCATGTGGAGAAATTCAATCCATCGTTAAAAATTGATGTCACTAATACAATATATTATTCTGAACTTTTTCTGCACCATTCATTATCGACTTAAAAGTAGTACTCACTATATATTTAAAAATCATGTATTTTGCGAATTCCATAAGTTGAAACCAGTTCAAACCATCGTTAAAAAACGATCTCATCACCAAAATATTACTCCACACTTTCCTATTTCAATTCCAATTTCAACTTAAAACCAAACCATCCAGAATTTTCTTAAATTTACAAAAATCTAAACCATCTTATCTCAACAATCTTTTAAATTTTTAATTTCTTTACATCAAAGAACCACGAATTTTCTCGAATAAAAGAAAATCCAAACCACCTTATAAAATCGTAAAAATTGTATATTTCTCTATTCTAAAAAATCACAAATTTTCTCAAATTTACAAAAATCCAAACCATCCTTATCCAAAGAATCATTTAAATCTTTTACTTCTCTATTCCAAAGAATCAGGAATTTTCTCAAATTTACAAAAATCCAAACCATCCTTATCCAAAGAATCATTTAAATCTTTTACTCCTCTATTCGAAAGCATCGGGAATTTTTTCAAATTCATAAAGATCCAAATGATCTTCGAAACTCGATCTAAAGCATCCGGTGTGCTTCAAGGGTAAAGAGAAAAAAGGAAACTGTTCGAACTTGAAGAGCCGCTTCAGAGGAACTGAGACTCTTTTGTCGGGCAGGCCATCATCGTGTCCGTTCGAGGCGCAAAAATGGCACCGTTTACGGGGCAACCTTGGCATACTCTAGCTCCTAGGCTGCAGCCAGTGTAGGTAAAAGACGCACACGCGTGCAGGAGCGTGCGTTAACAACCGCTGGAAGGAGAGGAGCGACGATTATGCGAGTTATGCAAGTGATTCGCAAGTCTGCGCAACGCGCCTGCGGAATTGCCAAGTGTCGCTTTGATAAGA